TGTAATTAATAACCTTTCATACCTATACTTTCATTCAAGTGAAATGACATAACCTAGAACAAAGAAGAACATTTCTACTATAGCTAAGACTGAAACTAAAACTAAAAATGAAATAAATTTAATTTTACAATTATCTCATTCATTTTACTTTAAAATCCATGAGAATTTGTTTCTTTCTGTATTCCTCTGATCAGGATGAGGATAGAACTGTAGCACTGTATCACTGTCCTCCCATTGTTCATCGATTTGCTCAAGTGGGTTCAGTAACGTCTCCATTTTGAGACTTGTTACTGTGTTTGGCATATTGAATACATCAAGGGTAGCTTGCCAGGCTCTGCCGTGCGGAAGGAATACTCTCGGTAGCTTGCCGGGCTCTCCAAGAGGGCGGAGGAATTGAACCTGGCTAAGCCAGGCCAGCAGTACGCAAGGCAAACGCCCTACCACTGTGCTAGAACCTAATCAAAATGAATCCTGCTTTAAATATCAGGACCTAGGGGGCTGGAGAGATAGCACAGCAGGTAGGGCGTTTGCCTTGCACGCGGCCAACCTGGGTTCAATTCCCAGCATCCCATAGGGTCCCCTGAGCATCGCCAGGAGTAACTCCTGACTGCAGAGCCAGGAGTAACCCCTTGCATTGCTGGGCGTGACCCAAAAAGCAAAAAATAAATAAATAAAATAAATAAATAAATATCAGAACCTAAAGACAATCCAATCTGTGAACACTTTATTTCTTTATAAGGAAAGAAACACAGGAACCAAGCCTCAAAGTGACTAACCTGTATCACTTCCTAATACCTCCAAATGAGGAAGAGCAGACGACAAAGCAAGGGGGAAGCAGGAAGTAGAAGCGGTTGATAACTGGCTCAGCCACTCCAAATTTCCCAGAAGCACAAATACCCAAATGGGTAAATGTCTCTTCTTCCTTTATTAGTAGCTACCCCCCCGCCATTATTTTCCCAAACTGCAGCAGTAAAACATTATTATCACAAGATCACAGCCTTGTGAGATATATAGATATATATTACAATATATATTTTACAAGACATATTGTAAAACACACATATGTATTTTTACAGAGACATATCAAGATTCCATACATACTATATACATTCCATAAGGTGTCACAGGAATATACTGGACAAAGTTTAAAGAAGACTATAGCCCAATCTTATAGGAGTCATATTCAAATCTGGCGCTCACTCATTTTTTTTCTAACTCTACCCTCTTTCAATAGCCCATTATAACTCACTTCCTATTTGATTCGCTAGCCATATAAACTTATCAATTTTTTTTAAAACATGCATCTAAGTTTCAAGATTAGAGAAGGGAAAGACTGTATCAAAAATCATCGCGTCTGATATCTTGCCCTCTGAACCCCGACTATTCAGGCCCAAATCTCCACAGTGCCTGCCATCCATCCTTACAGACTCCCCTTCAAAGGCTACTCTGGCTAAGAGCAGCCAAGAAGAATCTGCTCAGATAAACTGAAAGCACATCAAATAAACATAAAAACTTGTATTACAATACACAGTCAAACACACAGTGATAAACCACAGGCAGGACGGTGATAAAATGATGGACGTCACAAGTGCAGGCCGCCAGACGCCTTCAGGCATCTGCAGTTGGTGTGGTTCTGAGGCGAGGACCGGTAGGAAGGACCTGGGGCACTTGGAAACTTTGTATCGCAGTGAGGCACTGGGAAACTTTGTATCGCAGTGAGTAATAGGGCCCTCCGGCTCTGCCTCTGCATCCCAAATGCTCTGTTATCCTGCCAGTGTCTGCGCAGGGATTCCTGAATGGGGAGGAGGCTGAGTTCCAAATCACTAGTGAACGACAGGAGCCTCGCAAGGTGACTAACTCCCCACCACACCTTCCTCCTGGAAGCCTCATCCCCCCACTTCCCCTCAGAGAGAAAAGGCTGCCACCGCCTGGTGTGGGTGTCGATGTGGGGATTACCTGGGGCACAGAACGACATACCCTGCACTCGGCACACACCTAGCCAGCGCTTCCTCCTGGCCATCGCACCCTCCTGGCCATCGCACGGCAATGTGCCAAGACGCATGGCGGCAAGGGAAACGGGTCTAATCCCTTGAGCTTCAGTCCAGATCCTCTGGACTCTAGACCAGAAAAGCAGATGGAACAGGACTAAATTAGCGGCCAAGTTCATGTCACAATCACCAGCAACTGAGCAAGCAGAAGGCAACACTTGCCAGCCCCTACTAGTAACGCTTGCACGTGACCCACATCTCATACTCCACTCTGCTATTTCTCAGCACTGGAGCTGCTTGTAATCAAAAACTGTATTCTGGGGCTGGAGCGATGGCACAGCGAGTAGGGCATTTTCGCCTTGCACGCGGCTGACCTGGGTTCAATCCCCAGCATCCCATAAGGTCCCCCGAGCACCGTCAGGAGTAATCCCTGAGTGCAGAGCCAGGAGTAACTCCTGTGCATCACTGGGTATGACCCAAAAAGCTAAAAAAAAAACCCTATTTTGCCATGCTTGTGACGGTGAGTCTCATTGGTGTTATGGTTTCTGACTGACGCTTATCATCCACCTGGAGCCTTTATTTCTCCCGTTTCCTCATGCTCCGTAATTTGGAGACTAATCCTGTCCGTTTGCGAAACCCATCATTCCCCTTTCCCCCTCTACTCTCTAGCTCCCCCCTTTGCCTCTCATCTAGAACACAAGGCTCCACCCCCCCCCCCCCCGCCCCAAGCACCCCCTCCAGCCGTCTATGTCTTGCACTTAACAATCCACTTTCCACACAACAACCAATACTGGCAGTACAAAACTTCCTGGAGTATGTGCGCCCCTGGCTGGTCAGTAACCTCACGGGAAGTGGCTGACCCCTGGGATGTGTAAGCTCACAGGAAGTGGCAGACCCCTGGGATGTGATGTCACTGTGACATCAGAGCCCCACCTGCCCTCCTGCTGACTGGAGAGCCTGTCCCCCTGGATTTCCCAAAGCACCCCTTAAGTTCCCGCCTCAGAAAGGGCCATCTCACTCTGACCTTGTTCAGACGGCGCTGTGATTACCTGAAATTTTATTGCTTGTCTAACCAGAATTACATCCCTGGAAGTCCTTCCCCAGAGAGCAAAACAGGACCTTGTTACACCCAAGAGCCGAGACACAGACCTTCCACAGAGCAGCCGAGAGAAAGCTGGCCTCAGAACAGAGACCTATCTCTGCGCAAATGTTACTGCACAAGACTATTAAAGCCAGTACCTATTAATCTTTTTTTTGTTATTGTCTCAAAACAATCTGTCATTAGTAGTCAAGATAGTTTACATATGCTTGAAATTACATCCTTATCATTGTTAATAGTTTAAACCTCTGACTAGTTCCGAAAGGAATGTAAGACAGCCTACAATTACATTGCATTTGATCTAACAGATTCAAACAGCTTCATGAGACATTTCATCAAAACCTTAAATAGTATATGTCCTCAACACTGTCAAGGACATGAAAAATACTGTTAAAACATTTAAAAATTCTCACAGACAGCCAAATGCATTATGGTACCTATAGACCCTAGAGACGAGAGAGCATTCACAGGGGAAAAAAGAGCAAAATCTAAGGAAACCAGAGTTTAATTCCAAGTGATGTACTAATATTTATTGGTTTCTTAGTTTTAATAGATGCGCTGTGGTTATATGTTTGGGAAATCAGCTGAAGAAGACATGGAAACTCCTTCAACTATCTGTGACTTCTCTGTAAATAGAAAATTGACCAAAATCAAGTTTTTAAAAACTCAACATACACTTTAACCGTAGTTGGGTATTTAATTATGAGAAAAACAGTGTGAGCCATTGACATTTTGCTCTGAAGCCACATACCCCCTCAGATATCGAGCCCAACGGTTATGTTTAAGACTTTTCGTCTCACATCTGCAAACTTGGAGCGAACTCTGGACAGACAGATAGTACATACTTCCCCATCCAGCACCATAGTTCTCCAGTAACTCTCAGGAGTGGCCCCTGCCCCATCTCTCTGCAGAGATGCTTTCCTTTCACATAGCATCTCCACTTGCCTGCTGGGTTCACAATATCTTCTCGATCCCAACAACGTAGGTTTGCCCCCACTGTTTCTCTGGAAGCAAAGAAAACCCACTCCTAACCGTGTTGCATCATCTAAGAAGAGCTTTTACCTGGTAACTGGAATGTGACCAAGACTTCAAAGAGACTTTGCAGACATTATTCCCTATGAACTTATCGCCAAAATTAATCCCCGTTCACTGACTTGACCAATGTTTATGTCAGAGTGCTGTCTAAATCACAATGAACACAGAAAAGAAACTGGATTAGAAATGTTTAAAATATGAAAGCAAATTCCACGGTAATACTTCTGTGCCCGAGTGCTTCAATTCATAAAAACACCCAATAACGAAGCACTAAGGAGGCAATCCACCCCACAATTTTACTAATCGACTCTATAAGCTAGAGATTAAAAAGAAAAACAAAATCCTCAAAAGCATCCTCAAAATCCCAGCGTTTGTTTGCCTAATTTGTCACATTATTCTGGTTTCAATTAGCCTATGCACACAGACACACAGAGACACACATTGTTTTGTGAATCACGATGGCTCGCTAAATCAGGGGGCTACGATAAAAAACAAACAATAAAAGAAATAAAATCATTTAAAAGGCACAAGATAAAACTGTGAAAGGGCTTTAGCACAAGACTGGCTCTGTTTAAGGAAAAAATGCAGAGGAAAGGGGAAACTCTGTACCAATTTTCTGGGTGTTTTGTGGTTTTTTTCCGAGCCTGGGTAAGTCCCAGGAATCTCCTCCGACCCAAGTGTACGTTTAGATAAGGCTAGTCTACCCGCTGAGTTTTCTTCTTTTCAAGCACAGACAAAAACTGGCAGAGAACATGAAGATTTTTAAATTTTACAACCGAAGCTTACATTTTTATGAAAAAATTTCTGGCAGATTCTAGTGTGTCCAGGCTTATCTTTTGAACAGGGCAAAACAGCAAGTAGCGGGGCCGTGCGCTTACCTTGGAGACCTGCCGGAGCCACCTTAAATACTCGGTGAAGGTATCAAAACAAATGTAGTAAGTCTGGCTCTGGGGTCCCGAGGAGCTAAAGGCTAAACAGTGTTGGTGCTTTTTCACTTCTTCGACCTATAAAGAGACAAACGATGACAAGTCAGAAAGCAGAACCATCGACATCCTTCATGAACTTAACGTCCAGGTGATTCAGCCGGCTCATACTGACTCACTTCTGTCCTCCTGTGACCCAGACATGCCCCTCCCTGAGGCTGACCAGAGAAATGACAGAGAAACTCCAAAAAAGAGGTTCATTGGCTTTAGATTTTCCAGCAGTGAAATGCTCTTCTCTCTGCTTCAAACTGGGACAAACTCCCTTCCGTCCCGCTCTAAACACTCAGCAACAGAACGATTCTCAGTTCCTCTTGAGGGGATTTTCACCCAAGATTTATTTCAGGACTTCTACTTCAGCTCAATATATTGTACATAGGGGCTCCTTCTTATTTATTATAACTGGGAATTTTTTTTTAAATAGAAGTCTTCAAGCAGGTTAAGTAAGAATTTAACAACTTACTATGAAATTGTAAATTGTAAGTCCCTGAAATCAGAAAGCCCAACTCCGGAACTGTCAGACTCCTACAATGCAGTGACGGAGCCCGACCCAAACCTTCACTCCTGGAGGCTACGGAGGGCAGAGGCTTGGGTAGGCGCCTGCTCCCACGAGACCACAGTCACTCCAGGACACCACCTGGTTTCCCAACAGCGGCAGCACAGAGCTCGGCACACTGGGAGTCATCCCGGATCACCTGTCCCCGGGGTGGGGTGGGGGTGGGGGGACTCCTCTCCCAGTATGTTACTCTTTACCAAACAATAACGACACAGACCCACTTCACTTACCAAAATTAGCACAAACCAAGTCATGACATTTTAAAAAATCCTTCAAAAAAAAAAAAAAGATCAGAATCATAGACTATCTGTGTTCTTAGGTCAAAATTAAACTGATGTAGACCTAATTGAATGGCAATTAAAAATTCATAGTTAGGGGTTGGAGCCATGTAACTGGGGGCAAAGTGCTTGCTGTACATGCAGCTGAGCTGAATTCAATCCCCGGCACCACATATGGTGCCCCAAACCCTGCCAGTAGTGATCTTTGGGTCAAGAGTCAAGAGTAAGCCCTGAGTACCACCCAGAGTGGCCTGAAATATTTAAAAAAAAAAGAAAAAGAAAGAAAAAGAAAAAATGGGGGAAAATCATGCCTAGGGGTTGGGGAGTAGAGTGGGCAGGGTGCCTGCCTTGCACGTGGCTCGCCTGGGTTCCATCCCCAGCATCTCTACTGTTCCCTGAGCACTGCTACAAGTACCCTGTGCACAGAGCTGGGAGAAGCCCCCACACACTGGCTCATGTGGCCCCTAGGTCCCCAAATTAATTTAATCTGCACGTTTCTGAAACAAGTAACTGTATGTGTCCTAAGCATCTGCACCCAAAGGCCATGCCTCTCGAGTTCACTACAGGGATTTTGAGTTAAGCCGCTGTGTGTTGTCTCTGGCTATCTAGCAGTGTGCGTTACGTTCCACACTCCGAGTCCCCTCCCCTGTAAGTGCATATTCCTCAAGAGTAACCACTCTCAGAGGGCTGGAGAGATAGCACAGCGGGTAGGGCGTTTGCCTTGCACACGGCCGACCCGGGTTCGATTCCCAGCATCCCATATGGTCCCCTGAGCTCCGCCAGGGGTAATTCCTGAGTGCAGAGCCAGGAGGAACCCCTGTGCATTGCCAGGTGTGACCCAAAAGGCAAAAAAAAAAAAGAGTAACCACTCTCTTTACTTCCCCGTGTTGCTTAGACCCCTTGCAGTTAAGGTGCAAAGTTATGTACTGAGTTTTGGTCAAGGGTGCGCAGAAGAGGCGTGTGTGACCTCTGCGAAGATCACCCATAGATGAAATTCCACGTCTGCCCTTTCGTTTCTTTGTCCCCTGCCAAGGCAGTGAAGAAGAGCTGCGGGCTCCACAATTAGACCCAGAAGAACAGAGCCTTCAGCGGCGAGGGGGGGAATCAATCCCCACCAAGCCGGACCGGTCAGAGAGTAGGAACAAGAAAGACTTGAAGAGCTCTGGGGGGAGGCAGGGTGTCCACAGCAGAGCTTAGCCCACGGTACTCGGCATGCTGACAAGCCAAACACTAGCACATATTAACAAGTGGTTCTAAAAGGGAATGCCCTGCCACAGAGGCAGGGTGGGACGGGAGGAATGGGGGGTGGGAGGGATACTGGGATCAGTGGTGGTGGAGAACGGGCACTGGTGGAGGGATGGGGTGCTCGATCACCGTATAACTGAAACCCAAGCACAAAAATGTGTAAGTCTACAACTGTACCTCATGGTGTTTCACTAATAAAAAGTTAAAAAAAAAAGTGGTTTTTCAGGCGCAGCAACTCCAGCTGAGAATTTCTGTCCTAGAAAAACCATGTGCATGACAACATAAGACTACACCAGCAGCAGCATTCATGATAACAAAAAATAGGACGCAACCCCAAACTCAAGACAGGACAATTAATGATGTAAAGTTGAAACATTTACACAATGGAACATCACACAGAAATAAGAAGCCACAGATCACCAGCAACGTGGACTCTTATGTGATGTGGTACTGAGGAGAAAAAAAAATTCACAGAAGACCACACACAGTACAATACCGTTTTCTATGCAGAGCAAATAAAACAAAACAAAACAAAAAGTAAAAGAGTGATAGGATAAAAACTTACTTCATCACATAAGAAAATGATGGATTAGGGGCTGGAGCTATAGTACAGCAGGTAGGGCGTTTGCCTTGCACGTGGCCAATCCCAGCATCCCATATGGTCCCCCAAGCACTGCCAGGAGTAATTCTTGAGTGCAGCCAGGAGTAACCCCTGTGCATCACTGGGTGTGATGAAAGAAAGAAAGAAAGAAAGAAAGAAAGAAAGAAAGAAAGAAAGAAAGAAAGAAAGAGGGAGGGAGGAAAGAAAGAAAGAAAGAAAGAAAGAAAGAAAGAAAGAAAGAAAGAAAGAAAGAAAGAAAGAAAGAGGGAGGGAGGGAGGGAGGGAGGGAGGGAGGAAGGAAAGAGGGAGGGAGGGAAGGAGGGAGGGAGGGAGGGAGGAAGGAAGGAAGGAAGGAAGGAAGGGAGGGAGGGAGGGAGGGAGGGAGGGAGGGAGGGATATATACGCTAGGACCAAAACAGTCTGGGGTGAGGGGCATACTGAGACAGAGGATGCAGTTCACTCAACTCCAGGGCTACGATCTAACAAAAAGCAAGTCAAGTATCCACAGTATGTATCACAGTATCACGGTCCTCCCGTTGATCGTCAATTTGCTCGAGCGGGCCCAGTAACGTCTCCATTGGAGACCTTGTTGTTACTGTGTCTGGCATATCGAATACGTCACGGGGAGCTTGCCACGCTCTGCCGTGCGGGCGAGATACTCTCGGTAGCTTGCCGGGCTCTCCGAGAGGGGCGGAGGAATCGAACTCGGGTCGGCCATGTTGGCTGCGCGCAAGGCGAACGCCCTACCGCTGTGCTATCGCTCCAGAGAGGTTCAATGTAGTAACTGCACAGCAAATAAACATACTGGAAAACCTTTGAAGAATTAAGTTTTAAGACTCTTATTTAACTTCCCATTTCAAATGTCCCGCCCTCCAAGTGCTGATTCAGCCGTGGCAGAGGGCGCTTTGTTCACGGCTGTTTCATTTACGGCGAGGACCAGACCCACCTGTCCCCCACCTTGCTGCTGGCTGCTCTTTCAATAACCTTTCCCATAATTCCGTTCACTGTTTTTCCTTTAAGGAAGCAATTTAAAAAGGAACACGTTCTCATTAATATGAAAACTCAGATTGCAAAGAGTGAATTTTTTTTCCCCCTTTAACTTGGCCAACAGGTTTTAAAAGACTCAATTTTTCAACCTCCTCAATTTTTTAAAGGCGGAGAGCAAACAGGTTTTACAAGGTTTATCTGTGAGAAAAGGAAGCTATTAACTTTCAATCCACCCCGTCCAGAAGACCATCCAATAACAGGCCTGGGAACCAGGACAAGTCTCCAACTCTGAATGAAAATGCTAATTAAGACTGGCTCTTCCGACCTGATCTGAACACTCTGCTGCTATTTTTTTTTTTTTTTGCCCCTGGTTCTCTGAGCACAATACTCTTTCTGACCATCTCCTTCAGGGGAAGATATTTTTTTAACCCTTCAAATTCTGTTCTCATTGCTTTTTTTAATCACAAAATTCCCTATCCCCCCCCCGCCCCCCAAACTGCAATCTCATCTGTCATTCTCCCTTTGGTACCTTTTTTCCTCCTTACTTAGAGCAGACAACGTTGTAAATAAATAAAATTTATTTTCTCTTATCAGTAAATAAATAATATTTTTAGAAGTCTGTGGTGAGGACTTATCCAACCTGGTAATCCTGAGACACTAAGCAAAGGGGCTTCTTCACAGAGGCTGTGTGGTTAAACAGTTATTCAATTTGCCTGTGAAAACTGAATCCTAGAGAAGAGATGGTCGGACCCCTGGGTTTTCAAACGTAAAATATGACTTTTAAAATGTTTCTTTTACATGATGACTAAGCGCACAATCATCATGATGGCTCCTTTTAAATAATCCCTTCAAAGGATAAAATCGTCAGCAATAAGATATCACTATCTTTTAACTGCTTGGATGAAAGCTGAGAAGTAATTGTTTTAAAATGGGCGACTGAAACTGATCTAAACATAACCTAGCAGCCTAAATCTACTTAAAAGCTGACGCACGTATTAGCCTTCTATGGATGAGAGAATATAATGGGCGGGGGGGGGGGGGGGTCTTGTGTTCCTAAAGACAGACGTGTTTAAACTTACAAGAAATGAACTTGCTACAAAGCCGGTAACAACACAATGACTGGTCGCTGCGCCCGCCCAGTTCACTTCCATAAAGGCTGGTTCCTTCAGTGTTGTCTGACGTACCTTCTCCCTCTTCTGTTCCCAAATGCACTTGAGGGGAAAACCCACCTCCCATGTGGTGGCAGATTCCCTTCCCTCCCGATCCAGGCAGCATCCACGCAGGGCTGTGTCCCTCTTTTGGGCCCAGAGCCATGCCTTGGGCTTGCTTGTTCACTCTCCGATGGGGTGGACACGGGTGCTGGGGGAATGGGTGGGGGGCAGCTGTATGGCTGCCACCAAGAACTTCATGCTCTCAAGCCTTCTTATTTCTCATTCCACCCACCCACTCCACCAAAAAACACTCAGGATGTGACTCTGGTTTCTAAACGCATTGTTTCATGCTGATTTGCCCTCTCCTTTATTGACAGATTATCACTGGCTTTTATTTTTATTTATTTATTTATTTTGCTTTTTGTTTTTGCTTTTTTGGGGGGGAGGGGGTCACACCCGGCGATTCTCAGGAGTTCCTCCTGGCTCTGCGCTCAGGAATCACTCTTGGCGGTGCTCGGGGGACCATATGGGATGCTGGGAATTGAACCCGGGTCGACTGCGTGCAAGGCAAACGCCCTACCCACTGTGCTATTGCTCCAGCCCCTATCACTGGCTTTTAAACATCAGGAAACACGATCGTATGATTATGGAAATAATATTCCCTTATCCGTACTGAATTCGGCAAGAAAAATGGGGGCAGGGGTAGGGGGGTAACCACAACCCAATCCGCCTGTTTCTGCTCTTTAAGCAGCAGGATCAACTGACTCTTGTACCTAAAGAAACTGCAGGTGAAGTAGGAAATACCGGTCAAAGGCTACCCGAGATTTGTCTCTCGCAAATGTGCAGTTTGTCGGTTTCACGCTTCATGACGAGCTACAGTGATACATTCAAAACGCTGATCTCACAGGTCACGAAGCACGAAGGGACGGGGATGAGGCTGAGGAGGTGGCGCTGGGGGGCGGGGAGGGGTGCACAGGCTGAGTCCTGCTCTGGAGTCTGACATCCAGGATGCACCCAAGGGCCGGGGACTGAAGGGCCAGCCTACTAGACACGCAAGACACGCCCAGGTAGCAAGAGAGTCGACTCAAAACATCCTCTCCAGAGAAGCCGAGATGCTCCGCTCTGAGCCACGACGGAAAACTCAAGCTCAGGCGTCACCAGGTCTCTGGAGAGCTGAGGTGACTGTTCACTGCCGTCCACAATCCCACCACCCAGGGCCCCGCGGATGGAGAACCAGGGGACGAGGAGGACCCCAGACGGGCGGGAACCATCTCCACAGGACGGAGAGGCCCTCAGGAATCAGAGGGAGGGAGGCCGGGGGAAACTTCTGTTCTGTTGGCAACTTACTTTTCCCCCGATCAGCGGCAGGACGTGCATCTTCCCCGTGACGCTGTCCTTCACTGAGGAGACGATGAGGCAGGTCCCGCACAGGATCACTTGGCGCCTGGCCCACCGGTTCACGGGCAGCTGCATTTTGCCTTTACGGACGTTGTACATTCCTGAGAGCTGAATCCGTTCGGAACTATTGCTGCTGTGAGGTTTTCCTGAAACAAACGGGAGGAGACCTGTTAGCCTTTAAAATAAAACGAAACCAAACCAAAAAACAGGTTGAATCCCCAGCACCCCATATGGTCCCCCAAGCACTGCTGGGAGGAACTCCTGAGCACAGAGCCAGGAGCTGGTCCTGAGCACCGCTGCCAGATGTGGCCCAAATCCTTCCCCCCTGCATCTCCCAGGGTTCAAGTGAGCCAAAGGTGTCAAGGACCAAACCTGGACCTGCACTCCAGCTCTCAGGGTCGTTCCCCCAGCGCCTTCAAACTTGTTTAATTTGAGGCCACATCTGGTGGTGCTCAGGGGACCACACGGTGCTAAGGACCAGGGCTGGGGACTGAATACAGGGATTCTCTCATTCAAAATATGCATGACAGCACTTTAGACCATCTCCCCGGTGAAATGAGGTCGGCTCCCTCGCCCTTCTTATCAGCATCACCAGATAAATTCCTCGGATAGCAGAGAATAATGGTGCGAAATAATCTCACTTATAATTGAGAAAATAAGAAAGCTGCAGTAATGTAATTATGGTAAGAGTTTCTTTATCTCCCATGCATATTTTAATATTAGAAGAGTCTTTTCCTTAAAAATCCCAGGAAAAGGCCACTTAAAATCCTCTGGAGCAATCTAGGTTTAATTTTCTTCTGTGTCTCCATGTTTTAATTTTACATTAAAAATGAATTAAAGCTATTTATGAATGCCAGAGCGAATTTAAGTGTACTAAGAAGAAAATATTATAGATTAAAATAAGAAAATAGCATTCAAGATCTAGCATTCAATGAGACTGATCAGAATTAATGTTATTCTTCCTTCAACTGGTATTCAATAAATAATCACTACTAAAGAAACGTTTTTTTTAAGGAGGAAATATTTTGCTAGTAAGAAAATACTGTCTATAATCAAAGACTAAGTCCGTAAAGAGAACTGACCATGAGCCTAAGAAGAATGGTGTACAGCGACAACCTGTGAGAGGGAGAAACTAGTCAAAAAGAGAAGCTGAGAACAGACTGAAGAGTCTTCATTTCTCAGATCAAAATTAACTATGAAATTATATTCAGACAAATCTTATAGGCTGAAGAGAACAGCTGCGATTAACGTGTGATGGGACTGACGAGGAGTAAGGCACTTTCCAGTTCAGATCCCCAGTAGGTAACACCAAACACTCAACGCTCAAGTTCATGCTTAGAGATAAATGAGGAATTCAAGTCCTGGAGGAGGACCCATTCCAGAGTGCTAGCTTGGTTTTTTTTTTGGGGGGGGTGCGTGTGTGTGTGTGTGTGTGTGTGTGCGCGCATGCGCGCGCTAGCTTGGTTTTTAATGTGTGTGTGTGTGTTTTGCTACCTCATATTTATTTGAAAATCTTCCTAATCCCAAGAGCTAACAGAAGAAAGAGATTTAATTTTTTAATCTATTACCATAGAGATTAAAAATTGGCATAAATACAAAGTAATTTTGGTAGATACTTATGGGAAGAGAAATAGCGAGGACAGAAACACACACACACACACACACACACACACACACACACACACACCTCAAACAGAACCAAAATGTTTGAACGCGCCCATTATACACCTTGGGGCAGACTGATGGCAAACAATCAAACCTGCAGGGCGTGAGTCTGCCTTTCTCTTTCGCCTACTCTAGCAGAATGTGTTCTAAAATGAATACTACACACTATGTCATTTTGTTTGGGAACACAGTAGTCCAGCTATTTGAACCTGGGGATCAGCAAAGAACCGAATGGCAAGCACTGTGAGTGGAGTCCCACAGTAAGGGGTACACCCAGGAGACTATTCAGGATAGACATGCCTACTGAACCAGAGCTACTCTCTTTTCCCCTTCTGCACGACCCACCCAGAGAGAAGAGGCCCAGACAGCCCCCGTGAAGAGCTACTTTCCACAGGACAGACTTGGGAGTAGAAGAAATGACTCAAGAAAAAAAAAATGTACGGTAAGAGCAAGACTAAAAAGAACAGATCCCCAAATTTCAACTCCCATGGCTATACACCAGAATTCATTACCAGGGAACCTAATCTAAATGCATACACATAATCTAAATGCACACACGTATCTGTACCCCTTTATATAAATACTAGGGACTCAAGAGACAGGCACTTGACGCATCGTGACACTGGCTCCAAGGACACTTGCTACGCACACACAGACCTGGGAGGCTGAGAAAGACAAAAGGCAAGCAGGGGGCCTCGTAAGGGACAGCCCTTCATTGCTCCAGCTCCACAGAAACCCTAGAGAGTCCCGGCAAAGAGACCAAGCCAAGAGCAGAGGAGACGAAAGCAGGGAGACAGCACTCCTACAGAGCAGGGGTGAGTCCTGCACACCACAACACTGGGTGTGCCCCCCACCCTCACCCCAGCAAGAAACAGTCGGAAAACTCCTAAACGGTCGGAACGGTGCAAGAGCCTGCGTAAGAGTCGGACGGAAAGCGTCACTCCTCCCAGCCTCCCCAAGGCCCTCTTGTCTTGCTGAGGGAATTTCCACCCGCTGTCGTCTGCTCTCCCTGGAGCTCCAGGTCAGACATCCCCTGAGGACTCCAAAGTCCACTCTGGGGAACAGGAGTAAGCAATGTACCTGGGCAATCTCCCAAGGCAAGCTCCTTGGGATCCAATTTCCGAGCTCGTCTCTCTCTCTCTCTCTCTCTCTCTCTCTCTCTCTCTCTCTCTCTCTCTCTCTCAGGAACCCTGTCCTAAGTTTAATAAAAACTAACGCTACCAGAGTAACTGATGTCTGCCAGCTCAAGGCTGAACCAAATGGTCCTAACTCTTATCTTAGAAATGCTCCTCTAATTTCTTGAAGTCTTAAGAAATTTCCTGTGTGACCCAGTAGTAAAAAACAGCTCTAAGAAACGTCTTTCAAGCTGAGATCAAGAGACTATGAGGGAGCTGGAGAGATAGCACAGCGGGTAGGGCGTTTGCCCTGCACGCCGCCGACCCGGGTTCGAGTCCCAGCATCCCATATGGTCCCCTGAGCACCACCAGGAGTAACTCCTGAGTGCAGAGCCAGGTGTGACCCAAAAAGAAAAAAGAAAAAGGGACCATGAAAGAGTAGTTTAAAACATAGACTCTTACTGGACAAACAGTAGGTAAGATGATCTATTCAGATATCTCTACAGATATTTTTAAAATACAGAAGCTAGAAGACAGGGCCCAGAGAGAGAGAGCACAGGGGGGAGGGCACTTGCCTTGCACATAGCCGACCCAGGTTCCATCCCTGGCATTCCATACGGTCCTGAACACAGAGCCAAGAGTAACCCTTGAGCATCTCTCGGGGAGGTCCAAAAACCAAACAAATAATAAAAATAATACAATGAAAAATACAGAAGCCAGAGTGCCTGTTCAAGAAACTGAGCATATGCTTTGCTAGACAAGGCCCCGGTTCAATCCCTGGAAGCACATGGCCCCCTGAGCACTGAGCTGGGAGAAGCTCCAGAGCACCACTGGGTATGCCCCCCCCCCCAATAAAAAAACACAAATGAATGAAAACAGGCCAAGGGTGAACCTGGAGAAAATGCATTTCAAACTACATCGCTACATCTTAAAACTAAATGAAACAGACAATTCCTATATCACAACTGCTTAAAGAGGGAATAGCACCGTCGCACTGTCCTCACGTTGTTCATCGATTTGCTCCAGTGGGCCCAGTAACGCCTCCATGGTGAAACTTGTTACTGTGTTTGGCATATCGAATACGTCACAGGGAGCTTGCGAGGCTCTGCCGTGCGGGCGGGATACTCTCAGTAGCTTTCCAGGCTCTCCGAGAGGGATGGAGGAATCGAACCCGGGTTTGGCTACGTGCAAGGCAAATGCCCTACCCATTGTGCTATCACTCCAGCCAAGAATCTGAAATGCCTGCTGTCTTCAGCACTCCACAATGAGAATACCAAGACAACATTCTCTTGAGTTTTTCAAATATGACTGAGACAAGAGTTTGGAAACGTGGCTGAAGAACTTGCATCTGAATTAGTTTCTTTCCACCAAGGTTCACTAAGCACCCCCCCCCCGCAACCTGGATCCTCCATAACTACTCAGAGACTAAGAGCTCCATTCTACACCACCAGCAAAGACAGGGATGTTTTGCTGCCATCCATCTGGGGGGAAAAAAAAACCAGAAATCAAAGGCACTGCCCAAACTTTCCTCACAAATTCATTCATGCATTCAAAACATCTACCTCACCCTTCACCCGAAGTTGCTCACTTTCATGTCTGACTCAGAGTCATTTTTAAAATCTGACAAATGTTATGGATCTCTGGCAGAAAATAAACAAGCACACACAAAATATGACAGTGAGTTCATCTGAGCATCCTCAGGAGGATAGAGATGAGGAAGTCACTCCCAGGAGCCAACCCCTCCAGTTTCACAAGCAGCATTCCCGACACTCAACACATCGTTTCTCCTGAAAAGCCCATCGTTCTAACTCTTCTCAGGTCCACGATAAATTTCAAGTTGATTTCTATATAAAGAAGTAAGCAGGTCTGTGGGGGGTTTGTTCCATCAATTTGGGCGGAGGGGAATTTATATATTTCCAAAAGGTTGTCCAAATGATTCTAGGATCAAAAAGAGTCTCCATCACCACTGAACTACCTTGACACCTGTATGAAAACTCTGCTGTCCACAGTGGGGTGGATCCAATTTCTTGAATATTCACATTATTAACATAGGTCTTCTGCTCTTCTTTTCCCAGTTATATACTAGAAACGAGCATCTTCAAATTGGTTTATTTATTCCATAGCACTGCACTGTCCTCCCATTGTTCATCAATTTGCTCGAGCGGGCCCAGTAACATCTCCACCATGAGACTTCTTGTTACTGTGTCTGGCATATCGAATACGTTACGGGTAGCTTGCCAGGCTTTGCTGTCCGGGCGAGATACTCTCGGTAGCTTGCTGGGCTCTCCGAGAGGGGCAGAGGAATCAAACTCAGGCTGGCCATGTCGGCCGCAGGCAGGGTAAATGCCCTACTGCTGTGCTATCGT